AATATCTATGATTAACACCCTCCACAATAAAAATGATTAATCAACCTCTCATAATTACAAAAAAATGAACAAAATGAAAAATTATGATTGGTTGAATGCGGTTTGCACGGTTTGTACAAATTGAGTGGTTTGCATTTGATCGCTCCCCTATATATATATATATATATTGTGTATAATCAATCTGTGGTTTATATATTTATTTATTATGTAAATTAATTTATCCAAATGGTTTTACCAAATGGAAACATTGTACGACCAACATTCATATTTCAATCACTAATTAATAAAGGTGCAGGTTAGATACATTATTAATAGACTCTCATACCATGGTACGTACTAAAATTAAAGCACATATTTAGTTAACGTTTATATATGTAGGCTGTAGCATGAATCATATTATCGGCTACTACTTAAACTCGCCGTCCACTTCATTAACTAACTGCACTATATGTCATCTTGTTGTTTGTTAATTAAGGCTTTGGCGTGTGGCGGTTATTAGCTCCAGATCCTGGATAATCGTTCACTTCTAATGTCATCCTTTCTGTCTCAATCTTCCAGCTTTCTTTCACATGATCCTGAATGACAACAAAAGCGTTATATGAGGATTAATTTATGTCTATTCTCAATGATAGTTGAAAGTTAGTTGCTTTTAAGGTACGTAACGTAGCCATTCAACGATGGATCAGGTCTATACAGTTAATCCTAAAAAGGCCAGCTATTTACCAAGTGGATATTGGTTGAATCTTTAAGTGATCCTCCATCCATGAGATTTGTAGTTCCTGTATGAAAGCAAATGCATTAAAAAAAGAAACCTAATTATAATTAAGGGTGTCATCATATCGGTCATTAGAGTACATGCATGACATACACGAAACCATAAAAAGCTTATGCTATCAGAAATCCAAATTTCTAGAGTTTCATATTTATATATGGGTTTGGATATATGTTAATTGTAAAAGAGAGAGCAACGAAGGGAATGGAAGAAGGGATTGAGAGCTTACTTGAGATTGGGATAGCAATGGAGGTGGAGCATAAAAGAAGAAGAAGAGTAGCAGATAATGGAAGAAAACTGGTGGGTGCTGCCATGGCTTCTCATAAAATTGAACACACACAGTTACAGACTTTGGTAGGTGTAAAGTGTAAATGAACAATGTTAGAGATGGGTGCTTCTCCCATTTGCTATATATATTATATATATACTAGTCTATATGCATTCCCCTTTGACAACAAATTAAAAAGGAATTATATGTATTGTATTGTATTGTATTTGTATATATACTTTTTTAAAAGGGAACAGGAGCACCTGCCTACCCACCCACCCACATTATATATCTTTTGGAGATGTTGGTTGTAGCAGTCACAACAAGTCAATGAAGTTACATCTTTGAAATTACACCAATAACTTATATATATATATATATATATATATATATTAATTAATTGTTTTAAAACTTGATAAATATATATATATATATATATATAGAGAGAGAGAGAGAGTGTGTGTTAATTAATTGTGGTTTGTACAAGATTATCATAACAATAATGAAAATAGTCCACTTGGTGAAAGGGGGTTTGAGTTCTGAAAATTGATCCCATTTGATTCCTAAAGTAAAACCCTAAAATTAGATCCATTCTTAATAGTTTATATAAATAAATCTATGAGCTATTCAATCTAGACATTGAACCCATATATATATATTCGCTTGAAAATTTGATTTAAGTTATATAATTCTTTTTATATTTAGAATTATAATCATTATCACCAATAAATAAATAAATTGAAAGAATCAAGTAATTTTGTGGAAAAGGGATGGACCTGGCGTGCCAAAAAGTAGCTTCCACACATAAATAAGTCAACCCAACTGTCAATTTCTGCCAATTACTTTCTTTCTTTTATTTAACTTTTACAATAAAATATATTAAATATTCACTGCAACAAAATTGTTTACTCATATATATATATATATATATATATATATATATATACTAGTGGTGTACCCGTGCGATGCAGCGCGGGTAAATCACAATTCGAAAACATTAGTTTGGCTTTGAATCATGAGTTTATGTGGTTATTTTACAAGTCAACTAATATATAAAGTTGAAGGTCAATTTTGTTTGTTAGCAAGATCAAATGAAAAGAAAATTGCATATACGTCGAGTTTCTGAAACCTACTCAGAGCTCGTTACAAAACTTGAAATTCTTGAATGAACAAAGAAATACAATC